TATACAACTTACAAGATAAATCAACTTAAATTGCCTACTTCACAAACCACTTTATAAAGTATTGTATCTATAATATCTGTCCAAAAAAACAACAACTCAATATCATCCTACATTCTATCAGCATGTACATCTAAGGAGACTATTATAAAATATGAAAGTACAGAGTTTGTAAAGTCAACAGGTGAAATAATTAAAATGTGTGGACTTTTTCATAGGCTTTAACAGAAAATACCTAATTTGAAGGTCTCGTTTCTTACCCGCCATTTTAAAAACATGTAAATTTTAATTTTCGTTAAATCTGTATAACAATATTTAAGTATTTTGAAAATTGTTTATGACTTCATTTTTAATACCATTATAATGAAAAACTGTTAATAATTAATACCAGAAAAATGAATCTCTATTAGGATTTTCCATTGTTGTTGTCCCAATTTAAAAAATGGCTACTAAGCTATGCCTCAACATGTCCAAAAAAACTAATTTTTTAAAATCATGTCATAGAAACTGCTTACATGACATTTGAGTTGTACAGCCATACTGGATTCTTTACGGTTTTTCAATGGGTTTAAAAAAGAAATATTTTTGCACACAACAATGATGACCTACATTTGAAAATAATAACTGGCAATGCAATAAATTCAGTTTCTGTCAACAGGAAGCTGAAATCCTATTGGTCCATTCAAAAAGAGCTTTGGTCCCAATTCTGGGATTGTTAGGCTATCTAAATTTAGAATCTAAGCATTGTTTCGTTGAGGCGATGTCCTGTCTCTCCTACATATACTTTACCGCACTTTTTGCCTAGGTAAGAGAAGCTGTTTACCACTTAAACCCTTTCGCCATTGACTTGGATGTTGGGCTTGATGTAGCCTAAGGTTTTCAAGGAGCTGATTGGTGCAATATCTGAGGTTTTTTTTGTGTTAAGGTTAAGACCAAAGTTTGTTGCAGGCACCCAAGAAGTTTGCAACACTGCGTTCCATATCAGCCTCTTATTTAGTGTTAGGGCACAGTCGTTCCATATCAGCCTCTTATTTAGTGTTAAGGGCATAGATCGTTGGTATACAGAGTCCCTGATCATGTCTGTCAGGAATTGGATTTTAGTGTATGCCCTTGAGATTAAATAATTTACCATCAGTTCATGAAAGTTAGGCGTATCAAAAAGACAAAGATTGCAAGCATACAAAACATTGATAATTAAATGACGAAAAAGTTATAAATTATACTTTTTTCGAATTATCATTTTTTCTATATGATTTTTCATGCTGTTGTTTTTTAGGGGTACTTTTTGGACAGTTTTTGATCCCAACAGGTTGGCATGTATGACACTGTCAATCCCAACAGGTTGGCATGTATGACACTGTCAATCCCAACAGGTTGGCATGTATGACACTGTCAATCCCAACAGGTTGGCATGTATGACACTGTCAATCCCAACAGGTTGGCATGTATGACACTGTCAATCCCAACAGGTTGGCATGTATGACACTGTCAATCCCAACAGGTTGGCATGTATGATATGACACTGTCAATTTTATACAAAATATTTCTCAAGGTTTCATTAATCAATATGTTCCCTTGATAAAGATAAACACCATCTAACTAATTTAAATATTTATTATTATATTTTTGATAACTTGAATCCCTTCTTTTTACTGCTTTATAAATATTCATTTTTAAATATCAAGGCAGTTATTTGCTTCAGGATGCTGGAGACTAACAGTGTTGCATTGCATGTAAAATGTTTTTCATTTTTCAGTACAATTTGTAAAAAATTATGGATCAACTTTACTTTTAGAAATAATACTTAACTAAATTCTTGCAAAATAAAATTTAGTGTCAAGTAAGACGTATGAACTAAATATATTTTCATATATTCTTTTACTGTAAAATATTGTTTTGGCCAGAATATGCTCATTTTACCTTTATTGCCTTAAACTTAAATGTTTATCTCTTTGCAAGGACTGAAATTTTTATGTTAATTGTTATTCAATTTTATCCAAGCAAAAAAAGGCACAATGATTTCAAATAACATTTTCTTTTAATATTGTATACATCTTTCTACCTCTAAAGGACCAGCCATAGCCAGCATCAGCAGTCAGAGCAACAACCCACTTGTGGTTGATCAAGGAGTCTTTAGCACTGCAAGCTATGCCACTTACAAGATCCGTAAAGATATGGAATTGTGGGAGATTTGCCATACCATGCTGCAGAAAGTACCGAAATCTTATAATAAGGTATTTAGGAATGATCTTTTTAATTTTTGTACCGTAACTAAATATTTTTAGAAACATTTATAAAAATAAAATACAGTAGGGGTTTACCAAACATGTTGGATGGATTATATCAAATAAGTTTTCCATTAGATTTATTTACCAACGATTCGGATCCAGAAGCGAGAAACAAAACATTTTGGTAACTCAATTCTTTTCAGGAATACATCATTGAGAAGGTGAAGAAAGTAGGTGGGTTCACAACTTTCAACAACTTCATTATTAAAGAGATGGAGATCATGTACACATTGCTCAATGAAATTAGGGCAAGTTTGCAGGTAAATCAGAAGAAACACTAAAAAATATACTCCTGTTAAACTTTCAAATATATACATTCCTTAATATTACAAATGAAAATTCTGTAAGTACTATGTATGGCATAACGCTCTGTTCAATAGCATGAAAAATACAATGCCCTAAAAGTGCACCAAACAGAGTAAATTTGTGTTGGTTATTGAACACAATGATATATCTCCTATTTCTAAATGGGATTCTTTGAAGCACTGATAGTGATTAGTTTTTTTTAAAGGAAATCGAATCAGTTTAAATCTTGCAAAATAAATATGCTTAGGCTTGTATATAAATATATTATAAATTATAAATATGCAAGTATTATTTTTATAAATTAAAAATAAATTAAATATAATATAATAAACTTTCCAGAAGTTAGCACTAACTTACAAGTAACCTTAGTAGATGGAATGTTCATGCATCGTCACCACCATTGTTTGGGGGGTTATTTCTAATAAAAAATCATTTTAATTGATCTCATATCATTTATTTTATACTTTGATCGCTTGAGTTTAAAGAAGTTGATATTTAAAGTAGTAGACATTTAACTTTATTTAACTGTCTCACGTCACCAAGGCTATCAGAATTTAACTAACACAAAAATAACAATTCCCTATATTTTAGAACATTAAAAATGCTACAGAAAGTGAGGTTCTCGGGGATCAAGTATCCCAGCACCTCCTTGAAGTGGCAGACGACATTTATCATCTACGCATACCTGAAGCTTGGTGCCGGATGTCAGGTTATTCAGCTCCACCTTTGACCTATGGCATGGGTCAGTGGCTGGTGGAGCTACAGAGCCGATGCCACCACTTTGAGAAGATATTGTCCTTGGTAAGTTCATGTTTGCAAGTGCAAGATTTTGTTTTGGGATCCCTGTGAGGTACTCACTGTATTATTGGTCTGTCAATATACAGACTTTTTCCTTGAGGTTATGTATTTTTATGTCAGTGTAAGGTATAGCTTGCCTTTTTGTCTCAATATTTTGTTTTCAGTATGTATACTATTATACATTGTAAATGTATTAAATTTTAATTGATGTATTTTTTTTTTTAAACTGATAAAGGCTGTCAACAGTTGTTGCCAAAATATTTGTGTAAACTGTCTATTGTAAATAAAGCTAAAACATTCTTATTTACCTAGATTGACAGAAAGTTTGTGTCATAATTATTACGTGTGTCAAATGATCCGGCTGCTGCACTGAGTTTGAATGCTTTAATTATTTTTTTTTAATCCAGAAAATTGCACGTATAATGTCATAATGAGCCTTGATTGAATGACTATCAATCCACAAAGCAATATTCTTTGTCTAAATTTCAATATCAGTTGTTTTTTTCCCCCGTTGCCTTGCATCAGTTGCCAAAAGGTAACTATATGGTAAATTCAGTTTGCAACAGATCATGTTTTCATATTTAATATACCATGATATTTTCCCTTCTAGGGTCGTGAAAAGATGCCAGCCTATTGGCTTGGGGCTTTCTTTAATCCAAGAGGATTGCTGTCCATAATTAAACAAGAAAGTGGTCGTAACTACAGCAATGATAAGCTGGGCAACTTTGAACTCTTCACATTCCAGACAGAAGTTACATCACGAGATAAAGATCATGTAAATATATGTACCTTCTTTAAATTCATCATAACTGAACATTTATTTACTCTGTTAAGTTACCTTCTTAGAATACATCATAACTGAACATTTATTTACTCTGTTAAGTTACCTTCTTAGAATACATCATAAATGAACATTTATTTACTCTGTTAAGTTACCTTCTTAGAATTCATCATAACTGAACATTTATTTACTCTGTTAAGTTACCTTCTTAGAATACATCATAACTGAACATTTATTTACTCTGTTAAGTTACCAACATTTTCAAATGGCCATTTTAAATATACATACATAAAAATTAATATTCCTTCATATCGGACTTGCTGTTTAAAAAAAAGAGTTAATTGTATTATAATTTAAAAATTGTGAAACTTGAGAACTTGGGAATATTTTAAGTTTAAATTTAATATCTCTGTAATAATTCTCAGAAATGGTTAGAATGAAAATTTGTTGGATTGATTTAAATAGTTCCCATTACATGGACGGGTAACATTCAAAAGCATATTTTGTTAAGATCAAGTCAAATCTGATGTATTATTTTCCCCCACTCCACAGCTCCGAGACCCTCCCCAAGAAGGTATGTTTGTGTGGGGAATCCATTTGTGGGGATGCGCATGGGAGAAAACTACAGGTGAACTTCAGGACCTCCCCCCACGGTCTGGCTGTGCCTCACTTCCAGTTGTTCACGTGACCTGCTGGCCAGTGAATGAGAAGCCCTGCATGCTGGACAGTACAAAAGCCTCAGAGACATACCAATGTCCAGTATACCATTCACGACTAGCAAGACAGGAGGTCATTTTGGAGCTTGACGTGAGAAGGGAAGGCATCCCTGCCTCAAGGTGGGCTCTTAGAGGTCTTGCTGCAACCGTCAGGCCTTATTAACAAAGCCAATGAGTAACACATAATGGGAAGCTATAAAATAAAATTGTAATTATGTTAGTGTAATTATATAAGTTTAATCTGTGAGATTTCACAAGTTCAAAAAAATTTAAGTTGAGACTTCAAGTTTCAAATATTGAGCATGGTATATTTTTGAGTGTTTGTTTTGACCATATAGCTTAATGTGAACGTAAATGACCATTTGTAAGCATTAACTGATTTGCTGATTATTTCATGTAGTAAATTGTTTATAAAAAAATGCATGGTGAAGTCGTATGTCAGTATTGTATTTTTTGTTGTTGCGATGTATAGTTTTAACATTTCAATGTAATACTCATGTGAGCAATGTATAGTTTTAACATTTTAATGTAATTAGTAATACTCATATGAGCAATGATTTTAAAAGAGAGCACCTCCGATAAATGTGTTCTGAAAAAATATTTAACATTGATTTTAACACTTGATTAAAAATATTAAAAAATACCATATGATTTTACTACAGCAGTATTTTTTTTGGTATGATTTCTTTATAAATATAAATGTTATTTATTAAATGCTGAACTGATTTTTAATGACTGTATGCGCAAGTTTGAAATGGATGATATGTTAAATAAAGAGAATAATTAAATTTTGAAAACAATGTAAACAGATTTATTTTTTGTCAATGGTAAAGTAATGAATGCTAATAATAGCAGTAAATTTGTTGTTTTTTTTAAGTTGAAAAGTCTATAAAAAACTACATGATACAATGATACATGCTTAGAAGAAAAATAGCAAATTTTACCATGTCAAAATTAAAACGTTTTATTGGTATGAACAGCACAACAAAAATATAATTCAAGGGATTAAACAAGTAGCAATAATTAAAATGTATTACCATTAAGTTATAACTAATTTATTTGTAAAGTATATTTTGAATTATGTTTTAAAATTTGTTTGTGATATATGCTTCCAATATTAATTTTTTGAAAACTAATAAAAATAATTTTTAAAATGTGTTTTCTGTTTTTTTTTAAATACTTTGTCAAGTTAAAGGTTGTAAGGAAGCGGGGCCTATGAAAATATGCATTTGGAAAAGTGAAAATTAATTTAAAGAGACTAATATTTGAATTTTTAAAAAAATGGTCTTTGTAAAATTTCTTTAGAACTAGAAACAAATTTTAAGAACTAGCTTACATTTTTTAATGGTTTAGTTTGATTATACATGCAATATTAACAAGTCAGAAAATGAGTGCAGTCAATGATGAAATATTTTAAGAACTAGAGGCCTTAAGTGCATTTCAGCAGTACTCATTTAAGGCAACTTTGTTATAAAATAATCTAAAAAAATATTTACAATTCGTTTGAAAACAATATTTCGATCTTAAGTGAATATATGAATATGTTAAACAAATTGTCCATATCACAGATTGCTATTAAACAATTTTCTTCTATGTGTGCACATATTTAAAGCAATCAAACAGAAAAAGTCCAGGAAAAGCAACTGCAGCACATCAAATAAATAAACTTATCCAATTCAGATACTTCATTCAGTTTAAATGACCTCAGAAACAAAATTCACTTTGTTATCAGCTGGATAAGTGAGATGAAATCTTGAAACAATTTAATAATGCCCACAGATTTGTGTGTGGTCTTAATACCAGAAAAATCTGGGGTCAATCTGGACAAATCAAAATTGACAAGATCAAGGAGAAATAAAAATGATAAATGTTACGTCTTTCTCATTAGTAGTTGAATGCCGTGATCAGTTTTCTTTTCATTTTGACTACAGGAGTGGCAAGCTATCAAAATATCAGATTTCTTTTAGTTTAAATTCATCAATCTCATATTCTCGTAACAGCCACTACCACAATAATCCAATTAAATTAGAGATGTTGGGTTGGTAGCACATCTTCAAATATCTATCTTTCAAGTTTTTCACTTCATCATACATGTTAAGAGTCTATGGAAAAGTTGACGGCAGTATTGAGATTTCCCATCGCTGAAAGATGAAGAGATTACTTGTCCAAGCCTGTAGCTGAGCCTTTCCTTCCTTTGTATTGTCCTGGAACATACCTGGCACCATCTGGTCGCTGTGTTGTGAAGGACGTAGGCATGGAGCCACTGGAACCTGATGAGTTTATTTTGTTTTTTTTTACTCAGTTTGAATATACTTAAATCTATAGATCACACAACCCAGTATATTTTATTATATGAAAATTTAATATTCTTTGGCTTACAACAGAATATATATTTTTTTAAAGGTTTAACAATCTCTTTTCTCTTTCTTTATTAATTTTCCAAAAATTGGTTTAAACTTTTCTAAAGCAAACTCTTTAAATATCTAATAGAAAAGTCTATAGACAAGAATATTTACTATTTGTATGACTGCTGGAATCTGATACAAAGGAATGATCTTTCAATGCTCTTTCTGCAGATATTGCCTCCAACTTTTCAGTGTAGAATCCGTTAAAATCTAGTCTGAAAATAGACACAATTTTTTTAAACAGTGTTCTTATTTAATATTTTCATTTGTAACCCATTTTAAATATACATTGAAAGGATTACATTTTCTTTAATAATTCTTTCATATAAAATTCATGCCTGGAGTGGAAAGAAGAAGAAAATTAATCTGAAACATTCTGAAATCCTTCTGTATTGTGTATAACTGAAAGAAGGGGTTAATTTATACGAGGAGTTACTATTAGAAAATCTTTATTATTTTGCCTTGAAATCTAACCTGTAAATAATGTTGAACAGCTTGTGCTCATAAGTTGTCTTATTTTCGTCCATGATTTTATCCAACAGTTCAAGCAGGTGCCGTGAAAAGTTATTGTCAAACGTAGCAATTGTTTGCTCAAAGTTCTCATCTACCAGGACTTGTCCAACATATTCTGACATGACCTGAAAAGATCACATGCAGCCACCACATTTCATGATGTCATAAAAATAAAATACTTTCAGGAAAATATGGGAAGAAATATGTAAATTTTTCATAGGAAACACATCTCATTTTAGTGTAAAATTGCATTTGTAATTATGGATGAAAATAAAAATAACATAGTAACATAGAATCTCAGTATTGAAAATTTAATACTAATACAACAGAAATGTAAGCAGCAACAGAATCTATTATTAAATTTTACAATATGTTGATAAAATGTTCACAAATGACAATAGTCTTGATGTACCTTTGTGGCTGTCTTTTTCTTCTGTAGGTCCTCTCTACGCTCTCGATTGCTCATTGTAGATTGCAATGTGCTGTCTCGTAGCCTTTCCATCTCATTTTCTACCGTAGTCGTTTGGTTCACTCTCTAAGTACATTAAAACAAATAAAGGCATTATTGCAATCATATATTCTGCACTTGATAAATAAAAGCTAATACATTTTGAAATCTTAAAATTAAAATAAAACACCCCTCCGGACATTTAGGACTGGCTGAGAAAATAAGATACCTGAACATAATTAGAGAAAGTGACACACACGACCAGTAGCTTGTGAACAATTCTCAGCAATTCTGTAGACGTCAACATACAATCTTTGAGACAGGAGTCTAGAAAGTCACAATGAAATGCCAAGACATCATCAACATTTGACACCTGTAAAAGATATTTTTTTATACTTTACAAACGCTTAACAGAAATAAAACATGAAAAACTGTCACCATAGCAATTACTTAAGTTACTCATTAAGATACAGTTTTTGCTCTCATTTTACAAGTGTGTTTGGGCTTAAAAAGCAACTGAATAAAATTAGACAATATTTATGTAATGCACGATATTTACATTAAATGTTTTACCCTGGCCATGTTCTGTTGAAAAGTATGCCAGTTGGGCTCAATAACCTCAAACATCATGTAGTATTCAAAGTTCTGTACAAAATTCAGCATGCGCTGTCTAAGGGCGAAGGCGGCAGAATACCATCGAGAGCTACTTAAGGCATACATTTTAGTTTGCTTGTTGCCTATCCATACACTAAAGAAAGATCAATAAATAATAGTATTGACCACAGATTTTTAATTTTTTTATGAGGATAATTCAAATAATTTTCAAAGATTTAGAATGAGTAAATTGGAATTATTATCCAGGCAAAAAAGTATTTTCTTCATCCCTCTCAATAAATTAAACTTTTACTTAAATTAGTTAGTAATGGAAGTGTAAGAGAATTATTACTTGCACAATTGTCTTTCCACATGCTTGCAATAGAACAGATGTCTGAATAGTATTTGGTAACGTGTCAGGGCCTGATAAAATAAGAAACCATTATTTAATTTTTTAATTTATAATACAGTCCGGTATATAAAGTGACGGTAAATTAAATCTAACACTGTATCATGATGAACACAAAGGTTACTCAGTAAAATAAATGTAACAAAATCATTTCTCAAGACTTACCTTTCGGCTTAAAACCAAAGATGTCGGCCACTTGACAACATAATCAAAAGAAAAAGATTCCAGCCCAGACAGTCGAATGTCTGTTGGATCAATTCTGAATTCTGTAAACAAGGAAAATGCATTAGCAACAAAATAATGACAACATGTTGTGTGACAAACGCATCAGTGGTTCCATGTACAGCAGCCATCATGTGATTCTGGGTTGATACAGTTTTCATCATTTGCATCTTTCACACTTTACATTGCATTTAAAAAAGAACATTTTTGCCAAATCTTTTTCTTCAACTATTGACAATAACTAACGATTGTATGCTTAGATTTGTAAGTGTGTTTGGTTTTCATTATAATCAATTAAGAAGATTTTTAATCAGTAGAGTGACAACAAAATTTAATTAAAAATATATAAATAATAAATTAGAAGTAAGTTACCTCAAAATCATTTTAAAAACATTTATATCAATTTGGCTTAGGAAACTAAAAACTCTACAAATACTTACCTTTTTCTTTTTTAGAGTCAATGGCTAGAATCTGAAGGAGCTGTGAAGTCAGGTCAAATGGAAGCAAATCAACCCTGTTATGACAAAATTGAGTAGAGTAAATAACTGTCATTAATAGAGCAAATATTAGGATAAAATACATGTGAAAAAGGTTGTTCTATTCTTCAGAAAGAAAATAGTTTAATGTCTTAAATTAAAGGTCTAAACCAATCAAAGTCATGTATGTTATCTGTCTTTTTGACTATTATGTTAACTGGGACACACCTCAGGTCATCTTTGAATGGATCAACGTTTGCTGTGCTAGTTCTAAGAGCCAGCTCCAGCAGAGATTCTAATCGAGATGGCAGGATGTCATCAATGTGTTGTTTCATTTCTACTTCTGTCATGTCCATAAATTGCACTATAAAGTCACCTTTATCCAGCAGGAAGTAATGTTTTATGGACCTGATTTAAACCAAATGCAAGAACTCAGCAAATCAAATTTAATAAAAACGAACATTTACTCCAAATAATTCTTTTATTAAAAGATGAACATTGTCAGCCTTTTGTTGGATGATAACAGTCCTCAATAACAAATACAAGTTTTCATTAACGAGAAGACAGCTATTACTCATATTTTATGGAACACATTTACAATAAAATAAATGACCTACATATTTTTTTCTTCAAAAGTTTATTGGAGAGAGGTGTATATGATTATGTCTGACTAAAACAAGGACTTACTTCAATCTTGCTAACAGTTCTTTCTCTTCCATGAGTAGGGTGAGCAACAATTGGCTGGCATAACTGTAAGCACGTTCTATCTGGTCATAGTATCTTCTCTCCTTCACTGTATATACAAGTTCCTCTGCAAATGGACACTTCACATCTCGACCTTTAAATAAAAAGATGGTTCCATTACTCTCGAATGGTATAAATATTTTTATAATTTGGCTCGGTGACCCATCACGCTATGCTTTCAATTTGTAAAAGATTAATCTATATAGTGAAAAGGAAGAAATTTTAAATAGGAAATGAAAATATAAATAATAATAATCCAACATGACACAATTTTTGTCTTTTACATTTAAATTAACGTTTGAACGTTGTTTTATAAGTCACCTTTAAATGAAATGGGTAAAGCCAAAGTGATATTTCATTACATATTAAACATTTTCACCTTTCAAAAAGTAAGGAAGATGTATACCATATATATAAGAATGAGCTAGGTTCACATAACGCCAAAAGGGAGAACTTTTTAAGTACATTCGGATTCCTAAAAACAATCATAGTTATTTTCTATTATTTTACGGAAATCGAATAAATTTTAATGTGCAAAAAATATTTTAAATCCGCTTTTATTTTAGTAAAAGTTTAAATTTTATTATAACAAATACATTTAAAGTATCAACTAAGGAACTATTTTAAGCATTTTATATTATGTGTTTGAAAGTAATGAAAAAATAAAAAAAAATTTAAAAATCATGCTCAAAGAATTACACCATTATCACATTTATCGGGAAAACCCAGACATCAGTAGTTTTTAGTGCGTCTTTTAGTGCGTTGTTAAATTGCCAATTAAAATTAAAATTAATTTGTTCTAAATAATCACACCAATTACTTCATATCATTAATAGCCTATTTTGCCAAAACATTTAGGTTTCTTTAAATTTAATAACCGCGCTGGACAAAACTGATAATGTATTTTCCCTTTTAAAAGTAAACTTAATAAATACAATTGATTGCTTTTTGAATTGTTAATAAAACACACACACATTTTAGCTTTGAATATTTTAACATTTAAAAAGTTTTGCCTTTTTTATTCCAAAAATATACTTGATTAAAATTATAATGTAATAAATTCTAACCTTTAAATATAATGCAGTTTAAGCCAATCACGCAGCGCACTTCCACAGCCAAATAGCATTCACTAATCCACTTATAACTTATACAAATAAGAACGAACCATATGAAGTGCAAAATATGTTTGTATGGGTATGGAAAGGACTACAATCCGGTGAAAGATTTTCTAAATTTATTAAATCTGGGTGGGGAGGGGTTGTTCACTTTGCCCCAGGCAGCACAAGATACGTCTCAAAATAAAGGAATGAATTGGATAAATAATTAACCCTCTTTGGTATACATATCGGAGGTAGGACATAGGATGTGTACATTTTTACGAGGATGACAATATATTTAAATCCTACGGTATTACATTTGTGAAAAAAGGTATGCCACTTTCTCTTTTTACAAATATTTATATGTTCATTTTGCTAACGTCTGCACAAGATACGTTTTAAAATAAAGGAATGAATTTGATTAATAATTAACCTTCTTGGGTACATACATGTTGGAGGTAGGTAATGGGATGTGAATATTTTCACTTGCATGATTAACTCCTATGTTATTACATTTGTGAAAAAAGAGATGCAATATTCTCTTTTTACAAATATTTATTAATATGTATATGTTCATTTTGCTCAAGGCAGCACATGATACGTCTCAAAATAAAGGAGTGAATTTGATAAATAATTAATCTTCTTGGGTACATTCATATAGGAGGTAGGTAATAGAATGTGTACATTTTCACGTGGATGAAAATATATTAAATCCTATGGTATTACATTAGTGAAAAAGAGATGTTGCATTCTTTTTTTACAAATTTGTATAAGTTCAATTTGCCCAAGACAGCACAAGATACGTCTCAAAATAAAGGAATGAATTTGATAAATTATTAACCTTCTTAGGTAAATACATGTCGGAGGTAGGAAATAAGATGTCTACATGTTTACGTGAATGACAATATAGTTAGCTCCCATGGGATTTTATTTATGAAAAAAAGATTGTTACATTCTCTTTTCACAAAATGGGTAAGTTCATTTTGCCCAAGGCAATACTAGAATAAATAACCCGATGTTTTCAGTATAATAATGGTAGTTCTTTGCGATAATTTCTAACTGCTTTTGTAAAAAATCATCACAATCCATAACTTTAAAAATAAAATGATTTTTACGTTTCTATCATCATTAAATTTTTAGAGGTGTTCATCTGCTATATATTATACTCCTACCCTACTCCCTTTCACGCTCCTAAACTACTTTTTCCTCTTCTAATCATGACCTTAAATTACCCAGTCTAAGTAATCACTAATTATATAACATTTTGTCACTAAAGAAGTACATTGATGGACAATTACTACGCTAGAGAAATACTTTAGATTTACCCCTTTTCGTGCCCTTTTTCTGTCTAAAAACAAGATACGTCTCAAAACAAAGGAATGAGATTGATAAATAATTAATTTTCTTGGGTAAATACATGTTGGAGGTAGGCGATAAGATGTGTATAGTTTTAGGTGGATGACAACATTGTTAACTCCTATGGTATTCCTTTAAAAAAAAGAAATGTTACATTCTCTGTTTACAAATATGGGTAATTTCATTTTGCCCATGGCAATACAAGATACGCCTCAAAATAAGGGAATGAATTTGATCAATAATTAACCTCCTTGGGTACATTCATATCGGTGATAGGAAAAAGGATGTGTGCATTTTTACGTGGATGACAATATATTTAAATCCTATGGTATAACATTTGTAAAAAAAGAGATTTTTAATTCTCTTTTTACAAATAAACATATGTTTACCAATTAAGAAAATCAATGACGTTACAATTATATAAGCATACCCTTAAATATCAAAACCCAATCATTTTAAACACTTGAAAAGGTAATTTTGAAAAATGGAGATGGGTTAATATTTACTTTAAAAAAATTAAAATATAATTTTGATTTTACTTTGCAAAAAGTAAAGAGGTTTGTATTTTAATGAGATGAAGAATTAAAATTTTTTAAAAAGATACTCAAGTCTGTTTTAAGCGTGAAAAATGATTGCGAGATTCTTATTTAGATAAAATAATTCTTTGTTTTACGAGTCTCTGATAATATATTATTTTTTTTAAAGGCATAAATATGTTTAAATTTTGATGAAGATATCAATACACATCGAATTCCTGTCATATAAAATATACTTACATCATGTATATAGTTTTTGATGTAAATTTAAGATTTTTTTTATTTAAATTTTTTGAGAAAAAAATTTGTAATTCAAGGGCACGAAAAGGGGTAAAACTTAAGTATTTCTCTAAGATAGTAATTGTCCCTTAATTAACTCCTTTAGAGACAAAATTAATATAAGTAGTGATAAGTTAGACGGGGTATTTTGAGGTCATTTTTAGAGGGTAAAAAAAGTAGTTTAGGAGCGTGAAAGGGAGTAAAATAGGCTTATATTATATAGCAGATAAATACTTCTCAAAACTTAATGGTGTTAGAAATGTAAATAGCATTATATGTTTAAAGTTATAAATTGTAATAATTTTTTGCAATATCACTTAGAAATTTACGCAAAGGAACTAACATTATTATTCCGATAATATCGGGTCATTTATTCTAGTAGATAATAAAAAAACAAGTTATATATTTTATGAATATAAAAAAAATATTTAAAAAATAAAATCTAGACGCTTATATAGCAACTTGGAAAAATTCCAAAAATTTTGTTTTTTTGATGCCAAATATTTAAATTAGTAAGAATTTATTTACTTACCACATTGTCTGACAACATTCAGGTATTTTCCAGTGTTAAGTATTTTGTCTGCTACTTGCTCCAGGAATACTGGAATTCTTTCTTGGAAAACAGAGTAGTGTTTTTCCCAATAAGTGTATGAGGTTAAGGACAATCATGAAACTGATTTGCCGAGTGGGCTGTATTGCTTTATTTTTATTTTGTTTATATCTTTCATTATAAAAGAACTATAACAGGCCACAAGTTTAAATATGGCTAATGTCACAGGATTTGGGAATAGATGGTAAGTAACCATAACTGCTACATGTCCCACCAAGAGTTAAAGGAAGAGTAGTGAATAACAACAAACCTAAGAAACAATCGTCCAGTCTATACACTTATGGTACTGATGCCAGCATGCATGACCATTTCAATATCCATAAACCTACTTTAATGGCCACACACATTCTTTAAGCCTGACATTCATTAAGTAATTAACTTATTATCGATATATCCAAAGTTTTTCCATGGTCCTATTTATTATGACAAAAGGAAACAAGCCACAGTTGATTGCAAATGAAACTAAGTTGGATCTATTAAATGATATCTTTCTTTATGCATCATTTTGAAGACTTAAAAAGCATTTGGTAAGATTTTACTAATAAAATTGAGCTCTTCATCATTACTTCTGCCAGTGATGTTCTACTATTTTTAATAATGAATGAACCTGTCTGAAATGATTTAACTTCACTTGGCCCATGAGATTATTGTTTGACTCATAGAAAAGGATATGCATCGTTGTAGTCCTCTTGTAGTTTTTCTTTATTGATGGTTGCATTCTCCTCTACTAGGAACTGAAAAAAGCCCTTATTACATTTTGGTATGTATTTCAATCTTCATATTGCATAAATATAAATTAACAGTTGATTAAATTTTGAGCTTTGGGAAGTTGCTTAAAAACATATGATTGGAGTTCAAAATTCTTTCAGCCTTTTTTTTAATCAACTGTTTATTTATGGACTAATCGTCACATTTCACTGTATGACTTAGCAACAAAGTATAAAACATGTCTTTAAATGGTCCGTAAAGTTATTTACGCAGAGTAAGAGAAGTTTTTTTGTGTTTATAACATAGATCTATGTCAAGAATCTTGAACTAATAGTTCTATTTTCAGGAATCTGGCAAAAGTGTATACAAAATCCTTCATTGGGTTTTTGATAGTAGTTGGACTCTAATTAATTTAATTGATGGCAAAATGTAATGACTTTTTCCCCATTTTTATGACAGTACTCAACAAAGCAAGACCCCTGTTAGCTGTTACCTCTGAGTAAGGATCCATAATGATGCCTCTATAAATCCACTTCTCTAAGATTTCCATGTAAGGCACACATGCCTGAAAATAATTAACAAAAAAAATTACAACATAAAGATCTATACATTTCATAGCCTGCATGATTCTTATATTTAATTCACCAATATTCCATACAATAAAAGCACATTTGCCATACTCACTGTCTGTGTTAGATAAAGACATAGCTCAGAACTCTTGCTGTCCCTTTAAGAGAAATAATCAACTTTTGCATTAAGTCCTCATAAGTAAACCAAAAAAAAAAGTAGTACAAATAAATTTTAAATCAACATACAAATTGACCAAGTATCAAATTAACCAACAATTGTTAGTTGTTTCATCTGTAATACTCCTTTAATTTACATGATTTTTAAGTTCTATGTTCATCTAACATCTGATTAAATAACTACAAAGCTAGACCTATTTCACAAGTGTTTATTGGGTTTTTAACACAAAAATATAAAACATTTTAAAATGTCTTTTACCCAATCAGTGAAGCTGTTTTCTCATGAAGCAGACTCAAAACTGCTCCACCAATACATTTACCCTGAAACAAATAAAAAAAATAATTGAAATATATTACTTTAATAGTTAAAATGTTAGTTAAAACACACTACTAAGCTTTCTGATGAGTTTTCTATACAGGATTTCCCCCCCTTTTTTTTTACAATGATTGCACAGTTTAGATTTTAGGTAATTTAAAAGGATGCAAGAAATGGAGTTATCAAAGTTTTGAGTTTATTTCAACCACTGAGTTGAATTTTGCTAATACAAAATAGAAATAGTACAGTAAAACTCTACCTAATAGTCACCATCAGTATCCTATATAAATTATCGTGTAACATTTAATACTTGCCCTATTTATAGAGTTGGCAACTGATGCAAGGATTTCCAAAATTCTTATGGTAGGTTGCAGGTAAAAGCACATTTTCTGGAGCGTAAGTTGTCCCTGGATGGTAAGATAAGTCCGTAGATTTATGTTTTAGGTTGGTTGCAAATTTTCTTTTTTCATTTAAGAAATAATATTGCTCTTCATTTTAAAATAACTGCGTCTCAATTATGAAATATGTGAATTATTAAATCAGCAAGCAAGATATCTGTGTGTTTTTAAACTTTAAAACATAATGAGAAATGTAAAGAAATGAAAGAGAAAAAATCTTACCAAAGACATTTGTTGTTCCAGCTGAGCCACCATTACTAAGTAATCCTGTCGTCATAAACACAACCAAAAATATATAAGTTTAAGAGGCATAATGCATAAAATGTTGATAATGTCTTAAAATTGTTACAAGTTAAAGGTAGAAGTCATATAAAGCTTGATGAGAGACTTAACTGTTTTACTTCTATGATCACATACTTTTATCAGTGTTTCCATTGCTTGACTTAGAGCATGATTGACAAGTCCATATTCAAAGGAAGATTTTTCTGGAAAATACTTTTAAAAATTAAAATTCAGAAAAGGGAAAGAAAACTTTATTTTTAACCTACCTAAGACATTGTTACCTCCCACTCAGATACAACCACCATTAATAATAATTTGAAAGACATAGATTGTACCTGCAAAAGAATCTTGCTAAAATTTATTTCAATTCAGCTATTCTGCAAATACCTGGTAGGCATGAAAATAAATGACTTGCCTTCTATAAACATTACGACGGCAGAGTAATTTGAACATACTGGCAAAATTCTTTTGACAAGTTCTTGCACAGAAGGATCTGAAATTACATTGTAGTAAAGATATGGTTAAAGAACCTGATGAATAATTTTACAGGCGTGTCAAGTTTTAAATATACACAGTCTAATTTCAAATTTATGTTTACTCAGTTTATTTAAGCATTCTTTTAATTCTTCCACCATGTGATGCGATTGATATAAATTGATCACACTAAAAATGACAGCTACATGGGGCAATTTCCTCTACATAATGGTAAATTAATTAATAAGTTAAAAATAAATTCAACTCTTATTTTTGAAACACTGAGTAATTGTGACAGCCATCTTACAAATGCTAAGGAGATGCAATTTAAGTCAGAAATGTTGATACTTAAAACATTAAATTTAAAATAAAAATACCATAGAAGGGAGAGAAAAATAATATTTACCCAAACTTTGATCAAAGAGGAATTCTCTGGGTGCATAGCTTTCAGGCAGAGGTCTGGAAACAATGTATCTACTCTCAAGTCCCTGGAAATTGAAGTTTTAATTTTTAAAAAACATTTGGAGTGTATGATTCTATAAAACAGTAAAATTTTCCTGAAAATAAACAATAAATGAACTACTTTACTGCTTACAAACACACGACCCCCCCCTCCCCCCCCTTTTTAATTTTAAATTGTACTCTCACAGGTTTCATAATTGTCTACTATAAATAAGATGGCTGAAAGTAAGACATATAGAGCTGTTGGCAATTGTGGGGTACCTTGTGGAAATTTAAATCTAATAAACTGAATGGGCACATTTTAAACCTTACCCTCATGCACAATAAAATATCCTCCATGACAGCTTGTTCCTGTTCAAAAACAGACATTTTACCCAAAGCAACAATACCCTGAAAAATAGCCAACACAAAATTATTTTAAATGATTATTGGTGGCAACTTGTGAAATTGACCAAAATGAATCAAAATTTTTATAAAAATCTTTGACAGGTGTGTTTACATCATACTCATACACTAGCAACCGTTTAAATAATACCAAAAAAGACAAGTGACTCATCATTTTAAAACTATCTGATATATTAAAGATCAATGAAATTCTAAATGTAAGAGAATCAAAAAAATATTACTGAATTCGGCAAGGAATCTTCCCCAGGAATAAAGTCCATTGTAAGATAAGATCTTTTAAAGAGCCACTCAGGTTGCTGAGGAATATTCACTGAAATAAGTTTGAAATAGGAAAGGTTTGTAAAACAAAAATTTAAGAAACTGAACAGATTTTTAACAATTTTTTTACTTTCTTTGCAAGCTAATTAGTCAATAAGTCCACAGTTAGGCCCTACTTTAAAAACTGATTAAAACAACAACAACAAAAAAATCAAGTGAAACCTTAAAAACATCTACATTCTGCTTCTTAGCACTTTACTAATAAAACGCACACCTTGAGTAGTTATTGGCTATAAAACTTTAATTCTTTGATACCGCAAATGTTATGAACATTTAAATATAATGCACTACTGTTGGATGATCATTTTGTACATTGTGCTTTTATTGTGCACTTAATATTTAATCATAGATGGGGATGACCCTGGATGCATTACAACTGGTGGCAGGATACAGGCCTTAAGGCAAGAGAAAGTTTTGATAGTTTCCTTGTAAATTTAACAAGAAATTTAAAAAATGATGACATGTGACTTCTCCCATTGCACCAGCCATTCTCTCATGCCAGGCAGAGGCGTAGCGTGGTGGGGGCAGATGTCCCCGGGCACCAGCTAGTTAGGGGCGCTAAAATGTGCTTTGATATTATTTTATTGATGAAAATAATGGGTTTGAGGGTTGAAAAAAAGGGGCGCTAAAGATGGATCTTGTCCCCGGGCGCGAATCTTGTCCCCGGGCGCCAATCACCCTCACTACGCCACTGATGCCAGGCCACACACTTTAGAAATTACTGATCTCAAAGCTAAAATTCCTGAATGTATTACAAAAGAAATTTACTAATCCTAGAGGAGGATTGTTTTATTTTAATGGCATTGTTAAAGCTATTACAGACACTCTGTAACAACCAGGCTCCACCAAATATCCATAAGAAAAAACTGACTTACCAGCAGGATTCCAAGCTTTTTATGAACTGGCTGAAAAAATGTCTCTTAGAACATCTAACAAGAAAGATGAGTACACAAAATGTAACTACTGCTTTAATTTTTATAATTTTACTCACCATTGCGAGTAAGTGTTTTTTCTCTCATCACTTTAACCAGAAAGTCAGATGATGGATTTTCCACAACATTGGCTTGCTTGAGTAAAATGTCTTTGATCTGTAATAAGAGATATTTCTTTATTTAATTTTCATTTGAACATTTTTTAAAAAATCATGAAAGCTAATTGAAAATTTGTGCAAAGCATCAAACTTTTAAGCATGTTTATAAAAGTAGTTTGACATTTTTTAAATTATTTAAGTGAAACATTTGCAGTTAATGTTTACTATAAAGAAAATGAATGAAAGTCTTGAAAGAAACCTCTGATAGCTCTTCTTCTGTCATTTTGGTTCCTGGGGCAGGAAGCTGAGAGGTGATCTTACTGTGAGGCATCAGTGTCATTCTTTCTTTTTCTGCTATGTCAAGACCATGTTTGGAGAGAAACTCTTTGGTCTAAATATTTTTAAAAGAAATACATTAACATTTTATACAAGATATTAAATACACTCAAATATACAACATTATATAACTAATTATAAAAAGTATTGGACTGCATAAAGCTTTAAAATAGATTAATCAGACAATGACAATTTGTGTCAATATAACAATATAAGTTAAGCTTTAACAATAATTTTACATAATACATAAGTAAAATTATCGGCACATACCTTCATCAGTACAACAAAAAAAAAAGAAACAAGTATAAATTAAATTTACATAATATATCTATACATATATATATATATATATATACAGTGGCGTAGCGAGGGGGGTGCGGACCGCACCGGGTGACACCATTTTAGGGGTGACACCCGATTGAAAAATTGCATATTCACAAAGCACACGGTTCTCGGTCTAACCAAGATTCATAAAAGGATAACCGATCACAAATACATTTTTAACAAATGTAACCAATCCAAATGCGTGCTTTATTAAAAGTTCAAGATTGATGCTTCAGAAATCAGATGACCCTATGTTTAGGTCAGAAAAACACAGTCATTATTCCATCCCGTTTGAAGTGCTCGGTAACTTCCTTAAGGGACAGCAGGCTATATTTATCTAAATTCTGAGAAATATGGATTTCCATTGATACCAAATAAGTGTGGTCGGGCGGTTATAAGTATAAAAATTGGTAAAAATTAAAAACATTAAAAATGAATTTTACCCATTTATAGGGTTAAAAATATATTATTTTACACAATTTTCAATCTTTTAATGATTAATTATTTTTTATTTTTATTTAAATAAAGAAAAGTTTTTTGAAGACACATAATATTATATATCGAAACCCAAAAGGTATCTTACGTTTCACCAGAAACCCAAAATGAATTTATAATTGTCCTTTTAAATCATGTGAAGGAGATTCTTATCATGGATATAAAGCCTGCGAGGTATTTTGGGATTATGTTCGAAAGTACACCTGATATATCACACAGTGACCAGATTTTTGTTGTGATCAAATATGTGATAATCCACAATGGGGAAAGTTAAAGTGAGAGGAATGTTTCTTGCATTTTTCCCGTTAAGATTGAAAAAAAGCTGATGATCTCAGTTCTGAGATTCTTACAAACTAAAACGTGATGGACTAGACATACTGATGTTCAGAGCTCAGGGTTACGTTAATGCTGTCATAATGTATGGAATCCATAGAGGTGTTCAAGCCATTCGAAAAAGAAATAATAAGAATGCAATTTTTAAAGGATGCGTGGGCCATTCACTTAACTTATGTGGTCAACACTCTTTTGCAGAAAATGCTTCATGTATTAAATTATTCGGTACTCTTTAAAGAATATTTTCCTTCTTTGCTGCATCCAATAATCGATGGAATGTTCTAATTAAGCACACTATAATATCGGTGAAAAGAATATCAACAACGCTTTGGAGTGCTCATCATACTGCTGTTAAAAAAGTGAAAGATGAGTTTAATGAATGTTGGGAGGTGATTAAAGTTCTATGTCACCACCTTGTAAAAATTTGCATACAAGAGGTTAAGCTCAAGATCTTTTACATGTTGTCTGTGATTTCACGTTTATCTGCTACCTTTAACTTTGGGCTGATCTACTTGAGGAAGTTAATATTATACAGCAGTATCTGCAGATTTATGGGATTACTCTTGACAAAGTGATGACAAACCTAGAGGCCTTAAGACTGCTTCTGCACGAGAAGCGTCGTCACTTGGTGGAACATGCTATTGATAAGGCACTTTTAAAATGAGACCAATATGGAATTTCGGTAGAGAGAAGATTAAGGTTTAAGAAGAGAATGGCAGGAGAACTATTAATTAATAGATGCTGAACTCTTTCTAGAGAAGAAAACAGTAGGGAGATGCTGGAGTGTATTGATCGCTTTCATTCTGAACTCCACATCAGATCATCAGTGATCAAGGAAGTACCAGAATCTCTTCCAATACTCTCGCTAAGCCTTTAATTTTTTTCTTACATGTGTGTGTATGTGGCTCCATGTGAGCGGAGCTTTTCAAAACTAAAGCTTATCAAGAAATATTTATGATCCACCATGTGACAGTCAAGGTTTTCTGATGCGGCTCTGCTATCAATTGAAAGTGATACAGTGAAAAACATTGATTTTGATCATGTAATTGACAGGTTTGCAGCTTTGAAGACAGGGAAAGGAAATTTTTAAATTGTAAATTTAAAGTAAATACAGTTATAATTTAACGTTTTAAAATATATTAACTTCATGAACTTCGATTTATTTGTTTTTGTTCTTGTTATATTGTAGACTTATTTTAACAAGAAAAAAACTATCATGGAAATTGGGGGGGGGGGGGGGGGGGGGGGGGGGGGGGTGTGTGACACCAACCCTAGCTACGCCACTGTATATATATATACACATACAGTGGCGTTGTCCGTGTCTAATTATCTAAAACCACATTATATAACATTTATTCTATATTTATTTTACTAAAAATTGTAGGTCCCAGAAATAATCACACAGAGGCATGCTTTAACAAAGTAGGTGGAATTCTTGTTCATTTGTAAGCTGGATTTTTTAAAGTTCTATCATTTAACATGAATTCAACACACCAGCAGGTGAAATCATTTCAATATTTAAATTTACCTCTTCCTCCTCACTGAGTTTTGACAGGAAACATAGCAAGGGATCCAGTTCTCTGACACTGAAAGCAAATTAATTTAAAAACTATATGAAGAGGCATAGCAAAATATTCCAAGCAATTTTTATATAATAATTAAAACAGAAATAATGTTTTAAGGAATGGTGAAATGAAAAAAATGGGCAGTGTTTAACACGAAGAGGTCAATTGGGACAGGCTAGTTATTGGGACATTGGCAAAAGTCCTATGGCAGCAACTGATAAATATTTGGCCCGTTGCACAAATTATATTTTGTAAAAAAAAAATACACAGAGCAAAGTGCATGATCTTTCTTTTGTTTACAAATGTGTAGAACTTGAATGGCTGTTTGAAAAATGCACGAACATTAAAGATGTTGATGTTTCATTTATATGGCTAAATATAATAAACAGGAGAAACTGTCACTAAACATAAGATATGACTAGAAAACAGATTTACCAAGTTGAAAGGACTTACTTCTTCTCTTTCAGCTCATCATACTTGGCTAAAAATTCAATAGGTGTTTTTGTAGCCTGGGCGATATTTCTTTTAGCATGACTTGACGAAACCTGAAATTACAGTAACTAATTCTTTTATGACTTGACCAGTACATCACTCTTAAATAATCCGGAAGGAAGATAAGACTGCCTAAAATTTAAATAAAAGTTTGTACTAATGGCACTTTTGTAACTAAAATGTTATAAATATACATACAGTCAATAGTATAGATCAAGCCAGCACAACTCAAAATGTAAGGTGGGCCGTAATACTTTATGAAAAACTTGTGCTGGCCAAAAGAAAATAGGATTTTGCAGGCCACAAGAAAATAGGACGGGGGGAAAGCTATTAAGAAAATAATAAGAATAAAGAATATTTTGTTACTTCGCGGGCCGCGTGTGGCCCGCGGGCCATATGTTGTGCAGGCCTGGTATAGATGATAGAAGAGACTGGCTTTCACTAAGAACAATGAAAAGGTGCCGTTAATTTTCTTGTTTTTAAAAAAGAACTTATTTTTATAATTTTGCTTTCCCCTAAGAAATTTTTTTAAAAATCATAAATGGTCTGCTCATGAAGACTAGCATATGGAGAGTTACCCGGGAACTTGCGGATGTGTCACGGGACAATTAAAAATTAATTTGTTGACAATATACAAGTCTAGGTGCAAAGATACAATGGTTGGGAGAGCTAACTACTTTTTCTTCACTAAGTTATAATAATATTAATACTAATTTAATTTTACTCATTGTTAACACAATATAAGCCCTATAAATTTAAATCATTATGAAAACTTATAAATAAGAAATTACAACAATTTTAATTAATTTTCAGCCAACTTATTGGTGCAACTCTGGTCCATATCATTATGAAACTACCTAAAATATTATTTAAAATAAATCCTGACCTGAGTGGTTACATATGGCGTTCTACTTTTAAGAAGTTTCTCTGTGTACACCTCTTCTCCTATTGGGTCAGATGATCTCACCCTGATTATAATGTGAAAGAAATCTTTAGCTATAATCATGTTATGTCTATATTTTATTCCTGGTACAAAAAGTATTTTGAAAAATATGTACATCCTCATGCACACGCATTCATGAACATTAACATTAAATGGGGATGGCTTTAAAGTTTGTCATTTAAATGGTCTGAGTAAAGATTTAAAGGTTTAAATCAACCATTATCAATGTTATTTTATATCTGAGGGCCTAATCATATTAGTCTAAAATTCAGATTTTCTTTCAGTTCTGGTAGTTATTGATATACTCTATGGTTAAGTGATTTAATTATCAGCTAATATTAAAAAAAAAAAGATTTGTAGCATCAGGAATTCGCTATCTAAAAATTATTAAGCACCCATCAGTTATATCTGAATTACTATGTACTTACCCTAACAATGTCATAAGTTCACTGACATGATGGTGGATAGTGAATTCGCTCATTGTGAGACAAATTCACATTCATTCAACAATGTTACTGCCAGAGGAGAACAAGAAAATGAAATCAAAATGTTTCTATGCATGTGATAAATTTACCAAATTGAAGTAAAATTAGAAAAACATGAAAATCAAAAGGCATAGGCCCAGCAAATTATGTATGACACTCCTTAAATTTTACAAAGAAAAATCTTCAAATAAATCAGATTTTTTTTTTTTTAGTATTTTGTCTCCTTTGACATTCTGAATGACTTTTGAGTCTTGACTTAAATCAGGGTGGCCAACCTTTTGAAAGTAAAACATTTGCAAAGCATAAACATAGACAATAGCAAAATTAATGAAGACTCCAAATAAGTTCACTTCTCTTATAAGTATTTTAGAATTATAAAGAAATGAAATGGACATTAACCCACTGCCACAATTTTAAAGCAGAATCTTTTTCTTGTAAGCCCCAAGAACTGCAAAGCAACATCAATAATTACATTTGACTAACTCTAAGTAACAATCATTACATTTGACTAAGTTATGATTTGCAATAAATTTAATTATAATAGCCTCAAAACTGATAGTAGGCTTAAGGCCTAAATTATATTATAAACAATATAAAAGAAGCCTTTAGCTTAAAGCCTATTTTTATACCAGGCCCAGGTATTACAAATTTTAATATAGCCTCTGCTAGGACTACTAGGAGGGTCCACAGGTACTATAAATAGGGTGCAGGGGTCTGAGACATTACAGTATTATATTTATATTACAATATATATTTTTTCACTAGGCCTAAATTCAGAATAAAATTTAAATTAATTTTCAATTAGCCTAAGTGGCCGTGCAAATATTATATAATGTGGGCGTGCGTATATTATATAATGTGGTTTATCCTTTTTTATATGGGGTGGAACTAAGCGATATTATGTCACATTCTTTATTCGTTTATTAAAATTAATTCTTTTGTTTGCAAAATTGCTTTTCAAATTTACTAAATAAGCCTAGAATCTAACCAAATTATTAAAAACTAAAATGTAAGCAAATTTTTTATAATAAGTAGCACATTTTTGTAAAATATAATTTCTGGATTTTTGCTTGAAATTTGCCTGTGTTTGGACTTAATTTGGTTTTACCGGGTGGGGGCAGAAATGTTATATAATTTTAGAAAGTGGTTAATGAAAAAAGTCGGTATGTGCATTGCTGCTAGGCATAGCATAATAGCAGTACATTTTCAGGATTTAATAGATTTGATCAAACTAAAGGAGATCCTCCCTGGCTATGTCTTCACTTAATGCGGTCAAGTGGTGTTCCGGCACCTATTTTAGCAGAATGTAACCTAAGTTATCCAAATGTATATTTTTAAAAATTAAACAAATGAGAATTCAATGACCATACCTCCTTTTTTAACAAGACTATCACTAATAATTAGAAGAAAAAAAAAATCTCCTTGAGACTGATAAGGATATTATTATAGTCTAGAGGTTTTACTATACTAAAAATATGTGACTAGTTTTAACATTTAGTTACACAAAAAATAGCTTTATGGATGATGACTCATTTGATGACTGAAAGCGGTACTGATAGCTTTTCATGTTGGTCCATTGCTTTTTCTAAATTCAGTGAGTTAATTTCACTAATGAATTGGTAGGTCAAGTTCTTCAAAGAAAGAAAGTGGGACGATACATAACTGTTTATCATAACATGAATTATGATTGTAATTAGATATAGGCTGCGACTATTCGCACCCGGGTACCAGAAGTGAGAGGTTGGGATTTAAAAACTATTTAAAATAGATGTCATTTGTGGTAGTTTATTTTAGTTAAACTGAAGAATTAAGTTTACAAATATTTAGTCATAGTCCATTCAATTATATTTCATTTGATACCTCATTTTGTCTTACGAGCCAAACAATAATATTTTAAATAGTTTTTTAATCCCAACCTCTCACTTCTGGTACCCGGGTGTGAATAGCTACTTCGTTAGAGTTATGCCAAGGCCTATTGTCTATTCCCCGCTGAAATAAAGCTGAAGTAAACTAAACCAAGTCTAATCATTAATATAAGTACGACTACCATTCTTCAAAATTCAAATACTTTTGGATTATTTTTATGGCCAATGTTAAGTACTTTAAGTTATAAATTAATACAACTGCTGGTTGACTAAAATAAATTTGATAATTTGCCCTCCCCCCCCCCACCCATTTTTAATGATTTTGTTACCCCTCTTATTAAAATTATCATATTATTAGGCATTATTAGTATTATTAGACTATATGTCTTTACAATCAAATACCATTTCATTATGTCTTTGTTGTTTGTTTACAGATAACCCATAAACTTCTACTTACTTAGAGACTACTTCTTAACTTAGTTGTTTGGTTACATTCTCCTCTAAGTACTAGTAAAACTAAACTAAAATAGGAAATAACTTGCATTGAGCGCTTGAGTACTACTAGTACTTAGTTTAGTTAGGCCTAGGCATATTTTGAAGACTTAGTTACTTAGTAAACTGTGTTATTTACTACCCGGTACCGGTAATTTACTTAAATTTAGCCTACACCGTCGTGCCGTCGACGTCGACTGTCGACTACCTAACTCAGTGAAGACTTCTCATTGAGATTTTCAATACAATTACAATATAATGATATTAATTCTTTTGAAACACATGTTATTATTATTTATTACATGCTGCAAATTCATAGGTGTTGTAGATTTTTTAAAAATAAACTCCATTACGTCGCTTAAGGGCTAGGGTTATCCACTTTGTTAAAAGTATGGGAGTTCGCGCTCTTTTGAAAAATGAAACACGATTTGCCAAGTTATAAACAGACATTAGAGGCCTTAATAAACAGTGGTCACGTGATAAGATGAGACGATTTTAATCTTTACTTTGTAAAATTGATAATTAATCAAATAGTTTTATAAAAAATTCTTCACAGTCCATAGATATCATTACTTTTGTAAAAATGAGTACAATTTTTCATTTGATGAAAAATCGATGGTTACGAGAGTTGCGAGACTATTTATGGTATCGATAGTAAACATTATGGCGACAGGAAGCTGCTTGTTTCTGAAAATGAATTTCTAGTTGTTGCAATCATGTGTCTTGATTAATAAGAAAGTTTTCTGTAATAAAATACATCAATCTGAAATATAATTATATTCGTATAAATTTAAATATGTCTTTATAATTCGTATGGTTTGCATTTGAATCTTAATTATTAGTAATAAAAAAGGAAGCACAAATAAAAAGTAAAAGATTGCCGCCTTTCTCTCACTTTCCTTTATAAGTTTATTTGTATAAAAATCTGAACCCTCTTCATCGGGTAGCGACCGCCATGATTGGTATTGCTACGTCCATTTAGACGTCTATATCTAATTAAATAACATTGAACATGTAGTGATTTATTAAAGGAATGTTAATTTCGTTTCACACACCTTCCTGACATTGAAATGCCTTGTGAATGTTCTCACTCTCAATAGTCAATAGACTAACTAAGTCTGAGTAAAGTGATGCCATCTACTGTGATTATAATTCATTTTATCAATTAGTGAATTTCTACTATTAGGCCTAAAAATATAACGAAAATGATGCTTGTGGGCAGATACAGACCAATACTTTTATTGCAATATCTTCTTTTAATTATTGACATTTTTATGAATTCTTTCACGGAGTTGCTAAGATTTCAAAATGTTATATTGCTGGTTTTATATGTGTAAGTAAAGTTACATTTTTTTATTATCTTTAAAATCCTGTGTTGTCTATTATTATTGTCAATGAGTTGTTTACGTTTTATCAAGCTGCAATGACAACCAACAATTGCATTAAAAACCCATTCATTTAATGCTTATATTATTATATGTCATCCATAAAAGTGGCAAAAATGTCCTTTCTAATTCTAAGGCACACATCTTTTCCTAATAAGATGTTTTGTTTATGACACATTTAATTTTGGTAATTACTACTACTGTGTGTTAAAGAATTAAAAAAATTAAATTGAGTGTTTCCAAGATACAAAGGTGTTGATGACCACTGTTTATACTGTATAAGTCATAATACTACTTCAAAGTAAGGTAATTTTAGATATCTCAGTATTTTCTGATTAGATAATTAATCATTTCAGCATGTTAAAGAAAATACAAATTTGAATCTTATTAAAATGAAGGAAATAGGGTACCCCTTTAGATTGCAAAATCAACACACTTTCTTTTTCTGAATTATTTCAAATGGGATTTTGTCATTTTTACAAGCATATGAAAAAGCTAAAAATGGCTTGATGCCACAGAAAAATGCACTTGACAGTTGTAGGGTTAGGAGTTAAATTAGTTACACATCAAGAAAACATGTGCCAGCAATGTGTCAATGTTTTGTTAATTGTTGTTAGTTAATCATATAACAATATTGTTCATTTCTATATCCAATATTTATATTTAAAGCTACCTTTTTATTTTGACCTTAAAGTTAATTTGAATTCAACTTTATTCATTGTTATGTCATCTCCTTAAAACAAAATGTGCCAGATTTTGCAAATACATTTAATTTTCCAGTCATTCCCCGGAAAAAAAAAATGAAAAAAAATATCTGTAAACAAACAACAAAGACATAATATTAGAATTAAAAAACCTACATGAGCCAAGTTTACAGAGATAAAGTTTAGTTTGTTGTTTTTTTAGTTGTATACTTTTACACAAAATTATTCATAAAATGAAAGGATGTCCACAAGTTTTGAATAATTTAGTATTATTGCTAACAGTTTTAACGTTAATAAATTTCGTGTCAATTTATGTATAACATGATTAACAACTGTCACTATACTGTTTATCATTCTCAGGATTCAAGACTTTTGTTTGGTGTTTGCAGTCATCATTGTATTTCTACTATTCTTCTCAACATTCATTTTTCAAGCAGGCCTTGTCAATATTCTTGTGTCGAAGTTTAAGGTGCCTATATCTGTGACATTTATTTACTTTGCTCTTTGTGTGGCACTTCATGTCTGGACAATGGTAAGTGGGCTTTTATATAGTGCTTTTAACCTTTTCATTACCGCGGGTTTTGGCATCGGTTTTTGCTGACTCAGCAATAAAAAACTATTAAAGAAGAAATTTTCGGTATTTTACATTCTCTATACATTAACGAATAAAGAAATATATAGCATTGAGAATGACGTCGACGTGACATCCTTGGTATTTCATAAAATTTCTTTGCCTCTTTGTTATGATGTCAATGTGACGTCCTTGGTAACTGAAAGTGGGTGATCGTGACGTCGCGTTGATGTCATCGGTAGCGAAAAGGTTAAATATTTTTTTAATAATTGATTTGCTTTTCAATTTAATGTGCAATTTTTCAGATTTTGGAGAAGCTATGATTTGGGTCTAAATGTATAAAACAAGCAATATACCGGTATTTATAAAATTATATTTGGCAGCATTTGCCAATAAAGTTTCTGTCTGCAAAATTTGTGAATTATGTCATGTTACTTTTAGAAGTCCAATTTCAATTTCTCTTAATTTCCAGAATTTACGCTGGGGTAATGTAAATTTTTACATATGGGGAAACAGTGGATATCATGTTCTGTTTGCATTTCAACGGATAGGTAAGCAGGCAAAACTTTTTGCAGTTATATTTTATAAAAATATTTATGTTGCATGATGTTTTAAATAATGAGCCCTTTGCATTTTAATTTTTCATGCATCAGTCACATTACTCAGCATTGATTTCTAATAAAAGATGTCGTCATTAACTTTATAGGCTCATCCACACAGTTTTTTCTTAGCTTTTCAATTGTGGACGAACATATTTACTCTTTTGCATTTCCCGGTGTGCTATTCTTGTATGTTTCAAATATATATTTAGCTGCAATAATTTAACATGCCTTTTTAGTAACTAAATATCTAGTTTGGGCAAGTGCATTTCAATTATTATATATTTTTGGCCAGAAAGACTTTGAAGATTTTTTGTTTTACTCCTTTCACTTTCAGCTGCTGTCTTTTACTATTATTTCTACAAGAGGACAGCGTTGAAACTTGGTGAGCCACACTTTTATGAAGACTCTGAATGGATTCACAAAGAATTTGAGAGAAGGAGATAAATTTGGAACATTTTATGGTTTGAAATACTTGGTTATTTAAACTTTTAATTTGATTAAAAAAAATAATACTTTGATTTTCTACGAACAGTACAATAAAATGCAAATCGTTTTAGTAAACATGTGTTTTAACATGAGTAAAAAAGAATGCAAGAAAAAGAAAATGGTATGGCTGTCTTGAAGTTTACCATCTTCTTGTATGGTTGTGAGCAGTACAAATCAAGTTAAAATGATAATGGAGGTCAGTTTTTACATTTTATTTTTACATCACACAAAATAATATAAAATGTGACTAAAAATATTTATAGATTTTATATTTCATAAGGCAGTTTGATTTTATTTTAAAAATGTGTCAATTTTTAATCATTTTAGTTTATTTAAATTAACAAAATTAATTTGACATACATATAAACTCAAATTTTATCCCCAAAAGTTAAATTAAAATTATTTGTGTTATATGTCATAATGTATAATAATACACATACAATTTTTGAAGTTAGATAAAAGCTTATTAGTTGTTTGCTTTTCAATATATTTAATAAACTTGTACCTGCATGTCATGTGCCACTTAATTCATGATTTTAAGTACTGCATGAATCATTTGTTATAAATGTGCCTTAAATTTTAAATTAGAAAGTTGGCTACTAGATTATATTGCAAAAGATAAGAACTGCACAATATAATTTTTTAAATATTTTTCTGTCTTTCACATTACTTTTACAGAATGTGTAAATCTCCTGCAGTTCAAACCTGTAAAACTAAACAGTTAAAACCTATAATATACTTTACTGGTAGGTTATTCACTAATGCCTTGAATACTTTTGAAAATGTAAAAATGATGCACAAATTATCCTAATGCTGTTCAAGATTACAGGTAACCTTCTAAGTAGTTCAATTTTTCTTTCTAGATAAGTAAAGATCAATTTTATATATTAAGTTATCCAAAGTAAAGATTACTTAAGTTGCAAGCTAATTTTTATAGAGCTGTGTAGATAAAATTTTTTATGTGCTTTCTTTATCCACAATTCCTTTTGCACTAAATTTAACTGCCTTAAAAACGTTGTATAGAAGTTTGTTGATTAATCAGCAAATAATTGATTTTATCAGTAATTGTCCATTTGATAATCAGCACAACTTTTTGTGTTATTTATTATTTACATGTAAATGTGTAATTAACTAATGTGTATAATCATGTTATTGTCTTCAATTTAGTTTGGCTCATATCATTTTATTTAGAGGATATTTTCAATCCAAATTACATGTATAAATGAGATGTCATTTTTTTTTTAAGCAGCATAATCAATATAGTTATTTCATAACTGAAACAAAATTGTAAATAAAATTTAAACAATTGATATTCATATTAAATGTTCTTGTAGAGATCTGGTACATATTTTGTACAAAACTTCTTTTATATTTCTCGTGTAATAACATATTTTATTGAACAAACAACGGCTCCGCTTTGTTTTTATTATTGCACATCTATAAATCATGTTATGTAAATTATGTATGTGATTCTTTGTAGTGTAGTCAATATCATAATTACATGACAGCACCCGGTGTCCCTCTATTATTAGTTTCTTCTACAACAAAGAACTAAGAAATCATTCTTTATTTCAGTAATAGTCATAGAGTAGTTTGACTCTGATTTTGGTGATACACAACAACTTCAACCCCCCCCCCCAAACGCGGTCATTTGCATTGGAGATGACCAACCCAGAGAACAGTGAAGCAAATAAAATGTTGCTGCTTTAACTATAATGGGATCCTCGTATAGTTCATAATGTGATCCCTAGTTGGTTCTTATTCTCCTTCAATTTTTAAATAAAAACTGTCTCTTTTCCTTCTTATTTTTACATTAAATTATCCCATCACTATCTTAATTACTTAATATGGTGATGCAGTGCCACAAATCAAGTATCTTTTCCCTCACATCATGTATCTTTTCCCACACATTATGTATCTTTTCCCACACATTATGTATCTTTTCCCACACATTATGTATCTTTTCCCACACATCATGTATCTTTTCCCTCACATTATGTATCTTTTCCCACACATCATGTATCATTTCCCTCACATCATGTATCTTTTCCCACACATCATGTATCTTTTCCCACACATTATCTATATATCTTTTCCCACACATTATGTATCTTTTCCCTCACATCATGTATCTTTTCCCACACATCAAGTATCTTTTCCCTCACATTATGTCAATGTATCTTTCCCCACACATTATATATCTTTTCCCACACATTATTTATCTTTTCCCACACACCATGTATCTTTTCCCTCACATCATGTATCTTTTCCCACACATCATGTATCTTTTCCAACACATTATGTATCTTTTCCCACACATTATGTATCTTTTCCCACACATTATTTATCTTTTCCCACACACCATGTATCTTTTCCCTCACATTATGTATCTTTTCCCACACATTATTTATCTTTTCCCACACACCATGTATCTTTTCCCTCACATTATGTATCTTTTCCCACACATTATTTATCTTTTCCCACACACCATGTATCTTTTCCCTCACATTATGTATCTTTTCCCACACATCATGTATCTTTTCCCACATATCATGTATCATTTCTCTCACATCATGTATCTTTTCCCACACATCAATTATCTTATAACGCAGCACCAGGTTATAACTCAAAACAGCACCAGGTTATAACTCTACACAGCACCGGGTTATAACTCAACATAGCACCAGATTATAACACAGCACCAGGTTATAACACAACACAGCACCAGGTTATAACACAACACAGGGTTATAACTCAACACAGCACAAGGTTATACTCAACACAGCACCAGGTTATAACTCAACACAGCACCAGGTTATAACACGGCACCAGGTTATAACTCAACACAGCACAAGGTTATACTCAACACAGCACCAGGTTATAACTCAACACAGCACCAGGTTATAACTCAACACAGCACAAGGTTATACTCAACACAGCACCAGGTTATAACACAGCACCAGGTTATAACACAGCACCAGGTTATAACACAGCACCAGGTTATAACACAGCACCAGGTTATAACACAACAGCACCGATTCTGTTGTTTGTATTAATTTTGATTTTTAAATTAGTTTATGGGTGGGGTTGATTGTTCTCACAGCCGTCCCGTTTACTTCTTGTCTGCCATATAATATTATTTGCGGCTAATGTTCCCAAGGGTAAGGGAGATAATTAAACAAGAACAACGCATGCCGGCGGCTTTATCTTTTCTTTTAAAAAAAATATATTATTACTTTTTTTAATGTTGCTAGACATGCGGCGTATAAGATATAAGTATAAACTACCTATATTTTGTGCTGGTTCCCAAACTCGGTAAGACCGGCATCAAGCTAATATTACTTCACCCAACTGATGACACTGGACAACGGTTATGTAATGTAACTCGGACTTTCAGCACTGCCGAACTGTGACCACGGCTTCGAGTTTGATTCCTTGAATTTTTTCTGGCAAGTAAAGGGGAGGCAGTGATTGGAATCATCAAATTTTTCTCTGGCAAGTAAGGGGGGGGGGCAGTGATTGGAATCATCAAATTTTTGTCTGGCAAGTAAGGGGGG